AAGAACGTATTCTGTGTCTTGTAACCTTTATTTCAACAAAGATTCTGTTGAAATACTGCTTATACCTCCTCATTTCTTTACTTCCCTTTCCTACACACCTGTAGTGTTACACCCACGTGCTTTAACTGTGTCATCTTTTCTTTCCTTTTATAACGATTCTTTGATTATGTGTTAGACTCTAGTTAGAAAAATACTCATTCTAGTAAGTAGAGGATATGTTATGAAAAATAATTAGTTGTTCCATATAAAGGGTGCAGTCATGTTTCTGTCTGTTCCTTTACACTAAATTCATGTGCTTAATAGCATAGGCATGCTGAAAAGAAAGAGGCTGCTTACTTGAGGGAACAATCTCTGTAGCTTTTCATTCACCTTCTGGTTTGTTGCTGCTGTTTGAGTATTTCAATTTCAGTGCAATGAAGTTAGCCCTTGAAGTAATGTCAGTCTTATGTATAATAATAGTTCTAGATACAGTACATGAATAAAGTACATGCTCTCCTTTGTTGGATACCTGCCTTTAAGGAAAAACGTTACAAAAGCCTGAGAATGTCACCTGAGTTTTATTTTAACCTGGAGGGTAGAAGTGCGTCTGCCTTTCCTAAACCAGTAAAAGGGATAATTTTTTGATAAACAGAAGATGTTAATTCTGTTGTGTAGCTCAGCCTGTAAGCAGCAGATGCTTGCTGTGCTTAGCCAGTAATAGCATCGGTGAATAGGCTGTTAAAATTAGCAAGCTGAATAGTGTAGCAAGTACAAGTATCCTCTCTTCTTCATCCCTGTGTTCTAATCTTTTCCGTCTTGCATTAAGAGTACAGGTACAGCTCATCAACAAGTTTCTTTCCCAGTGTTTCTATAAATATAATAAAACTGCCTTGTGAGATAGTTGATTAAAAGGCCTACATTTGCTAGAAAAGTAATCCAATAGGCATCTTAAAATGTTATAGAAGATAGTTAGGTGCGGGGATGCTGTTGGGAGTCCAAAATCTTTAAGAAGCCAGAAGAAAATTGAGCAAATTGACTAGCTATATGTTGAAGGAAGTGCTATTAAAAAAGAAAGAGTTAGGATGTTACTTGTATCTGCATGTACATCATGTGCTGCAAATGGAAATTGTGTTCCTAATGATTAAAATACTGTCTCACAGTCCTGATTTAAGAGGAGCTTATGAAAATCATAGAGGCTCTGTGGACAGAATACTTAAGTAAAAGCTATCCCTGTGTTGGCTGGCTGAATGTCCCATTGTTACCTGTTTTTTTCAGACAGCACATTATTCCTTCAGCTAGTAGAGAAGTTACTCCAGGATTAGCATACAGGAGCAGCATACAAGATCTTGTTTTATGTGTATCAGAGCTTTTTTTTTTTTATGACTGTGTTCCAATAACCTTGTTTGAGCAAAGATGTTTAGAAAAATGTAAACTATTGTAACATTAACTTTTCAAAAAGCATCTCAATTTTGAGAAGCTTCTTCAGGTGGAAGCCAAAAGGCTAAAATGCTAAAGTGGTTGTGCTGTCATGTGCTGACTGTGAGGATAGCACTGATTCTTATCCAGAAGGCCATAGACCAGGAAAATCTTCTCTAAGAAGCAGAAACTGTTGAATTAAGGAAAACTGACTGGAAAGAGCAAAGAAAATAGAAGTCTGTTAAGACAGAGGGTTTGAGAGCTGGTTTACTAAGTGCATTAAAACCTGAAAACCTTGCACATCGAAAGCAAGAAACTTTGCCAGAGTCACTAGGGCTCGTAGAGAGACATGAAAGGGCACCCAAGGAAAGTCAGATCATATAGTAAGAATTAAAGCGAACTAATTGCATTACCTTCTGTCAGAGAAGGTCTTAAGATTGACTTCTCATGAGAACTTTCTTTGACTCTGGGCCACTGTCATTTTAAATTTCAGTAAGAATGTTTAAATCCAATCAGAAGAATGATACCTATTGTACAACTGTGTCTTGTGGTATATGCCAAATAATTTCAGAGAAATTAACCATGAGTATAGTTTGAACTCTAAATGATTTTTGATTATCTAGCCCTTTGTTTAATGATTCAGTTTGCATGGGACAACAGCGAAGTACTGTCTTGCCAGTACAAAGTAGAAAATATGAAGCTGACTTCATAGTACAAGGTAGATCAGGGAAGGAAATGTAGACTAGTGATGAGTGATATTCTTCTTTCATGATATGATTAAGAATTATGACAGTGTTAATCATCTGAACAGAAGCTCTGTGGGGCATTGAAGTGAGAGTGCTTATGTGTTGGCTATTTTTCTGAGCTCACTGACACGCTAGGGGCTGCTTTTGAAAGGCTATGCTGCGTATGGTAGAGGTTGCAGTGCATAGGGGAACTCAGACCCCTTTTACTCTCCTCCTCTAATACAGGATGGCTACTATAAATGCATTTTTTTTCCAGAAATGTCTCCTGCAGTGGTTGGATGGTGCTGATACTGTAACAAAACAGAACTTGCTTGCATGAGCAAACATAAAGAAAGGATCTAGTGCATGTTTTGATAAAGGTAGTTGTGTCTCACAGGTCTCGTTTTCTGGAAGGATTAATTGTTAATCTGTATTCCTGTGTTCAGTCTGATAACACAGAACTGCTGGATTTTTTTTTTTTCCGAAGAATGTTTCTGAGATTCTTTTTTGAAGACCATGTAAAAACTGAACAATTACAGATTTGCTGGGCTTATGGGTTAGCTGCTTAGAAATAACCAAAGGAAAGAATAAATTATTTACTTTATAATAAGGGAAGATTACCAGTAGAATGACTCAAGATGCTGTTGCTCCATATATTTATAAATACTTGGAGGGAAGAAATGAATGAGGGAAGGATAGAAGAGGTAATAGACAGCTAGAGCTGACTGCAGACGGTTGCAGTGGGATTTCATTGTTGGTTAGATTATAAAATTACTGGTAAAGTTGAATTTTTCAGTAAATACAGAAACGTGATTGAAGAAAAATAGTTCAGGCTGAATATACCCAGTGGATGGGCTTTATGTTGGTAGTTTTGTTCAGAAAACACCTTAAAGCTCCTTCATAATGATTTCTTTTAAAGAGCAGCTGTATACTCAAGTAGCAGCAGCAATCTTGGCGAATGTAGAGACAATAAAATGAAAACAGGTGTGTGTTGGACTGAAGGGCGGAATTCCGTGTTGACTCTGTGTGTGTTTGCCACCTGTCAGAAAATGTGGTGCAAACTGAAAACAAGCTGAAGAAGGTTAGCAGTGATCAAACTTTGGACTTGCTTTTGTGTAAAGAGAGAGAAATCAATGAGGATTAGTAGCTTGGAAAACTGCTGGTGGATAGAGGCAAGTGGATATGAATTGAGAACCTGTGAAGTGTTACGTTTTAAGATGAACTGCCAGTAATAACTTTTTTTGCCCCAAGAAAAAGAGCATCAGATAAAATCATTACCAGGCAACAATTTAAAACAAAGTTCTCTTTACTCTGATGCATACTTAAATTCTCATAGAATGCCGTTGTGACAAAAGCATAAATGGACTGAAAGAGTTGGAAAAATCAATGGAAGAAAAGTCCTTTGAGCTAATATGCATCATGATTGGGATCCACCCCAAAAGTATGCCAAAGGATATTACTGGAGGCTTGGAAGGATGGCTGCCCCTTTGTCGTTCCTGTTTTTCCTTGCTTTCACCCTGTATCTACAGGCAGGAGAATAGGAAGTCTTCAGTTTGACCCCACTGCTGTTAGGTGTGTTGCAAGTATTTTATTCTTTGGTCTTGTTGTCTTGCAAAGGAAAATAGCATACTTTCTATAAACAAAACAGGGTCATGTTAGTTTGCATTTTCTGTCTTGCTCGAAAGTTTTGGAATCAAGTAGATTCATCAACATATTGAAATGTAGTCTGCAGTGTACTTAAATGTTCATTTAGGGATCCAAGCTCAGTTTAAGATCAGAGAAAGGGCAAACAGTAATTCTAAGTATGTATGCTTTTTGGAAGTGTCTTTGTGCTTTGCTGCTAAAATCTTTGTGTATTGAATTCTGACACTTAACCTCCAACAGATATGCCTAATTTTTATCTGTTAGAGTTGGAAATACCTATTAAAATGAGTTGCTGAAGTCTCAGGTGAAGAGTTATGAGTTTTTCTGGAGTTGTATTAAATTTTGCTTTTGAAAGGCTAAGTATATTAACTATAGATTGATTTTTGGTTTTAGGACAGTATTTGGATTTCACTGCATTGTTGACTAGATATGTTTCTTGAGTTAGAGAGAAATCTTAAAAACGTGTCAACATCAAAAGATGTCTTTGTAAAATGTCACAGCTGTAGTTATTTGCTTTTTTTTTTTGTTTGACATAGCTTGATGCTTTTCCACTGAAAAAAGCAAACATGGCATTCACCTTAAAACTCAAATTTGGCAGCAAGTGTTCTATAGTATTGGGAGATGGGAAACAAAAGGGCTTAATAGGTGTATAAGGTTCCAGTGTCAGAACTCTTCATGTAACACTGGTATTAAAATACTTTACACTTGAGAACATATTTAACACTTCTTACTCTGCATTCAGTGGAAAGGTCACTTCCTGTGTGAATGAACGGCTAATTAAGGGTTTGAGTGTCAAGGGAATCCCCCTTTGTCAAAGTGGACATGTTCATATCAAGAAATACTCAAATGTCCTTTTTATTACCCTTCACAGAAATGCATCAATACCAGTGGCCTGTTTGCAAGTCTGTGTAAGCTACCACATACACAGAAGTAAGAACTGCTGGAAGAATAAACCTATTTGAAGATTTTAGTTGTTCCGGTGCCATTTCACATTTGTGTCATTACGTAGTTTTTAAGATTCAACTTCATTTTTTAAAGAAAATAAACATAGAGAAACAGGAATTGAATTTGGCTTCCAATGTTGAGCCAGTAAGAAATTTAGTAAATGTCTACTAGAGTTAGTGTTCTGAGTCTTTTGGTTAAAGAATGATATTGAATAAAGCCTGTGGCCTGTTTCTGGTAAAATTTATTGTAATAGTTAAATTGTCATTATAACTGATCCTACTTTCTCCATTAGACTACATGAAGAAATAATTGACTTCTATGACTTCATGTCCCCTCGTCCTGAAGAAGCAGCTATGAGAAGAGAAGTGGTAAAAAGAATAGAAACAGTCATCAAAGATCTCTGGCCTACAGCTGATGTGAGTGTAATTTAAGTTGTGATTTGCTTTTCTAGTAAATTGTAGAGCTTGATTCACTTAACCTTGCTATTATATTCCGTGTTTTAGAAATTAACAGATAATACTTCAAACTTGAGGCAATTGACTTCATATTGCAGCTCTTGCAGTATTTGGCAGTTCATTTTGAAAAGCGGGGGAGACTTCAAACCTAGATGTCAGGTTAATGAATGTTACTGATTATTTTTTCATTTTGAGAACTGGGAATGTGAAGAGCTGTCCACTTTAAATAGTGCATTTCTTAAAGTAATAAAGCAGTAGGACAAGAGGGCACAGTCCTAATCTATGCCAGGGGAGGTTTAGGTTAGACATTAGAAAGAAATTCTATACAGAGTGAGTGATCGGACATTGGAATTGGCTGCCCAGGGAGGTGGTGGAGTCCCTGGAGGTATTTAAGAAGAGACTGGATGTGACACTTAGTGCTATGGTCTAGTTGATAGAGTGGTGCTGGGTCATGGGTTGGACTCGATCTCAGAGTCCAATCTGGTTGATTCTGTGATTCTATAAATTGATTGTCTTATAACTTAATTTTGGATGTTAAAGTGAGACTGACTACCTATATGTTCATTGCTGTAAGGAGTCCTGACTGTGGATATTTGTAAATAATAATGTTTTACAAAAGAGCAGTTAAACACAGATTTTCTTGGTTTTTTTGTACTCTTCATGAATTTGACATTCAGGAGGTTACTTTAGCCCTACTTTAATGGGAAAATTGCACTCCCTGAGATACTTTGCAACCAATGTTTGTGTAATTTCAAACACTTTGTTACCCAATGAGTAAGTTTGCTCATACAAAAAGAATGTCTCATCCAAAAAGAACTGTATCTCTAGCATCACCCTCATGATTACCAGATAGTAGCATTGTCATGTGTAAGCAGAAAAATGCTTCAGATCACTGTGATTTCATATCCTCCTGTGGCAAAAAGTGAGGCCTCTGGCCACAGCACTGAGCTAAAGATACTGTAAAGCTCATCTGCTTCATCCTTACCCGTGTTTTTCCTTCATAGTAAGACTTTTCTGCCTTGTGGAAATAGATAGAAACACTAAAATGACCCAGTGTTGCCCAGCCTTTTCATAGGAAGAAAGAAGTGAACTTATAAATTGTGCTCTGCTCTATCAGAGGGTGAAGAAGGTCTCAATTCTTTAGGTTGGAAGCATACTAAAAATATTTGATGTGGACTGTGGATTTATCTCCAGCATGCCTGCTTTTCCACACAAAGACACCTGCTGCTACTTGATAGTCATCCTTAACAGTAAAATCTGGAGTATTTATCTTTATCTGAATTATACATTTAGATGCACTTGCTGTTTTTTAAACCTAAAAATTTGGAAAATTTATTCCCTTAAACTCTTCCAATTTCAGTAAAGCTGTTCTGTGAGGGGAAAAAAAGGAAGCAGGAAGGAAGGAAAGTGATAAAAACTGTCAAACTGGAAATAAATACTGAAAAGCATTTGTTTAAATCTGTGCTTTGTTAGCAGGATTGGTATTTATTTCATGTTTAAGAAGTACCCAATTTCCTCTAAAGTTGCATGTGTAAGAAAAAGTGAAGTTGTACATGCTTAGTGTAGTGTATAATACTTTAAGGATATAGACTATATCCTTGACTATATCCTTAACAAGTTGAGAAAAATATTGTCTTCTGAAAGTAAAATTAAGTGATCATTCATAGTTACAAGATATTTCCTTGGTGTGTTTTTTTTTCAGGTCCAGATATTTGGCAGCTTTAGTACAGGGCTTTATCTTCCAACTAGGTAAGTAATAGTTTACTTTTACATAAAGTTTTCCTTTTAGAGAAATGGTACATTTCAAAGAGGAGTTTAGACTGGAATGTGTAAACCTGTCAAACTTTCAGTCAAACTTTTGTCTAGTGCTTAATGTGACAAAGGGAAAAGCTTTTGAACTTCAAGATTTGCAGTAAGTTTTTTATGTGTCATTGTACTGCTCTGTTGACCCTTTTAAACATACAGTGGAAATGAATGTTTATTGTTTACTGTGTAAACATTGTTTTGTTAAATAAGATGAATTACTGAGAGTGTGTCACTTATCACAGAGTTACTTTGTAAAGTTGAAAGAGTCATCACTGTGATGTATTCTCATTGGTTTGGAGAGCAAAATGTATTACTTAATTTGTTGTTTTATATCACTTAATGGTTCAGTTGATGGATGTGGAAAACCTGTGTAACTCTGTGTAAAAGACTGTGTTATCTTTACATTGATTAAATTTTTAGTAGGAAAGCACTGGAAATTTCATTTCTATGAATAGCAATCAATGATAAAAATGGTTTGGACTATTAACGTGCTTGTCAACATGGGTATATAGGTTAGGGATAGAACTGGGCTGTGGAAGTCAGAGGGGAGGGAGCAGGAAAGGTAAAAGGGCGAGGACCTCAAAGAACTCATCAGAGAAGTGGAGGCAGGAAAGTAGAATGCTGCTTTGGGTCCTAGAGCACAGTAGACTCTCTTGCTTAACAATCCTAAAAGGAGTTAATTGGGAACCTAGATTAAAAGTTGCACAGTGATCACCCTGTAGGACTTGTGATATGTAGAATGCCAATTTGATCGTATTTTTTGGTGGTGTATTATACTATAGACTTAATGGATTTCATATTGTGTTCTTTTTGTCTAGTGATATTGATCTGGTTGTTTTTGGGAAATGGGAACGGCCTCCTTTACAGCTGCTGGAGCAAGCGCTAAGAAAACACAATGTGGCTGAACCATATTCCATTAAAGTACTTGATAAAGCTACAGTAAGTAATAGTCTTTGGAATACTGAACTAAAAAACTTTCAGATCCCTTAAGATGGTGGTGGTAAATATGTACTTTTAATTCATGAAGCAAATTATATTGTTTTAAGCTCTCTAAGCAAGATTTCAGTAGAATCTGTACATGCTTAGCAATAACATGTAGTCTTTTACACAGACAGTGGTAATTGTGTACTGTGTTTGCTGGAAGGCCATATCTTGTGCTTATGTTGTCAATAGGGATCTGAAAGGCAGTATTTGCAAAATATCCAGTAAAATAAATTTACTCTTAGCATAATGTTTTTCCATTGACCTTTGAGGGGAATTTGTTTACCCAGGGACCGCTAACTAGAGCTGTCTGTCTTGGAAAACAATTTTCAGATTGTCTTTTTTCTAATGACATAGTGAAATGTTCCAAACCTAACATTTATTTTTCCCTTCCAAAATATGCTACTTGTGAGCTTTATTTAATTTGTGAAACTGATGAGTATTATCTCTTACATCTATCTTGTAAGCCTAACAAATCACATTGAATATGTTAAAAACTTAATGTATGAGAATTTTATGTTACTGAGCAAGTGATGTTTTCCCAGGCAACTAGGGTGAGTATTCAAAACTTCTGTTAACAAGCTGCTATGTTTTGTGGTCTCCAAAACAGGCTAATTCTTTTAGGTCCAGAATATTCTTGTGGCTTCCGTCAGAGTAGCAGCACATAACGGTAGCTCTGGTAGTCTTTGGTTTACTTGAGAACAAATGGGATTTTCAGAATCTGTGTTACCAGTTAGTGATGGAAAATGGCAGTAGGCTAGGCTTACAATTCTATTAGCCTTTCTTGTCTTATTCCTTCTGCTGTTGGTATAAGATGATGCCATACATCTACTCTTCTTCATTTTCCGTTTCAGATTAAAAATACATAAAGTTCAATTTAAAATAAATACTGTCAGCTGAAGTTGAGGTTATGATTTAAGATGGTTTTGGAAGATACTGCTTTCCAGATGATGGTGTGAGGCTGAACTACATATTCAGTCAATCTGTAATAATTTATTGCTGCTGTACTGCTACTTCTGCTTTGCTTTGTCTCATCTGGCTTTCATTTGACACTACAGTGAACCAGTTCAGCTTGATAAACCAACAGACGTTGCTTTCTGCTAGGTTAGTCTTCTATCAGTTTAGCAAGTGAATGGCACAGTGCTGGGTCAGAGGAGTTCAGTTCCCGCAGGTTATTAGGTTGGAACATCTATTAACAGGAGCAAGTTATTAAATTAACTAAACTTAGTTGTCTTACAAAACACTGGTATTGCAGCTATGAAGGCACATGTCCAACAGCTATGGGTGTAACAGTGATTGTAAGTTAATGTAATTGTGCGTGTGCATGTTTTTAATCACCAAACTAAAAAAAAAAGTTTACTTGTCAGTCAAGTTAGGATTGTTACCTCTTCTCAAAAAGACAGAATTGATAGTTGCATTAATCAGCATTGGTAGTATCTCTGTGTCTTAAGTGAGTAAGCTAGAGAATAGCACCAGTGTTGTATTTCTGGGGATTCATAATTGTTTTAATCTTTTCAGGTACCAATAATAAAACTTACTGACCAGGAGACAGAAGTGAAAGTTGATATCAGTTTTAATGTAGAAACTGGTGTGAAGGCAGCTCGATTTATCAAGGAATACATGAAGGTACCAGCCATGTAGTGAATGTTATACTACTTACCAAGGATGTGCTTAAATGCTTAGCTAACCTTTTTTGGTATGGCTTGAAAATTTACTGCTGAAGACTATTTTCATTAATTAAACATGGATGTTTTAATTTATTTTCTATTGGTATCTATTCCGTGTTCCCTTCGAATGTTAGTTGTTTGCCTGAATAAACCTGTACACTGAAGAGACTTCTCTAATCATGTCTAGATCTGCAGATAGGTACTAAACTTTGCTTCTAAAGGAAGTCTCTTTTCAAGGTTTGCTTACCTTGAATTTCAGTGATGCTTGATTATGAATACTGTCTTGCTAAACTTCCATAAACCAATTCTTCTGTAGCTACATACTTAAAAGTATCCTTTTATGCTCTTCAGTAAAAGTATTATTCAGATTGAAAGTTTTGACTATAGTAAGTGACACTGGCATTCAAAGAAGGATATAAAAATCTCAGTGTTTGGGGGGATAAATTTTACATGTAAGCTCTTCAATCAGAGTTGAAGTCTATTCATCAGCATCTAGAATAAAAAAATGCATGTTTCAGTTCTTCCTATGGAAACACTTTATAGCACATCACTGAAAATACTTTTGTATTAGATGAATTTTTGTGTATTGAGATTGCATAGTGCTTAATTTGTTTTGGAATGTTGACATTGTAATTGATAAGCCTTACTTTGCTTTGCAGAAATACTCTTTGCTGCCTTATTTGATTTTAGTATTAAAACAGTTCCTCCTTCAGAGGGATTTGAATGAAGTTTTTACTGGTGGAATTAGCTCTTACAGCCTAATTTTAATGGCAATTAGTTTCCTACAGGTAAGTCTGTTCCTTATTTGTTTCTATGTTCTTTAAAATATTTTGATTTTTGTACCTATGCCCTTTTGTTGTACTGTTTCTTCCGACCGCTCCTCGCAATGCACAGCTTTGTTGTTATGGCTCTGAGCGTTTGACTGTTGGCAGTTCCTATGGACTGCCTCTCAAACACCTAAGAACTTCTCTTCCCTGTGTGAAGTGAAACAGCAGCAGGAGCCTTGTGAAAGGCACAGGGGGTGTGCATTGTTTTCTGTACCAGGGTGTGTACCTGAATGGTGTTACCTAATGGTACCTAATGGTGTTGCATAAATCTGCCAGGATGCAGTTTGTGTGTTGCTTCCTAGACTACTGATACTGAACGTGCAGAGTAGTTGATTTCAGTGTTTATTAAAATTATGAAATCCAACAGTCAGGTTGGTTTTTAATTGTGTTGTTCAGGTTTTGACATGGGTAAGACTGACATACGCTGTACATAACTGATGAAATAACTGAGTTACAATGTTACAAATGAGTCACAATGCCTTCCAATAAATTTTTGTGACAGTACACTTCCTACAGGTATGAACAAGTATGGAGTTAGCATCTCTTGGCAACTGTGGTGATGGAAAAACTACATATTCTCTGCTACTGCTGCTTGTTGAAATATTACTATCGATTTTATATACCAGATATAATATGTGGAGATAGAGACAAGAACTGTATTTTAATTGGGACAGATAGATTCTGCCCCTCCTTCTGAAAACATTGAGGGATAGATTTTCTGTGAAAAATCAGGTATTACTTTGTTACTAACTAATTGTAACAATTAGTACATACTAAGCTGTAATTTAGTAGAAGCAATACTTCTTTATTGCTTTTGACTTAGGGGAAAGAATTCCCTAAGCCTCAAAAAGCCATGAGGAAGGTTGAAAGAATTCTTGGGCTTCCAGATACTGCTGAAGTGCTGCCCCCTCTCGGTTGTGTGAGAGTAGTTTAAAATCATGGAGAAGGAATGACTGAGTTGAGACTTCTGTGAAATAATACTCAGCTGTTTAAATGAGAGCTTTTTGTTGCCCTGTGTTCATGGTCTGAAAACTATTAATTTTTAATAATCAAAAACTGTGTTTTGTCACAGCTGCATCCAAGAATTGATGCCAGAAGAGCTGATGAAAACCTTGGAATGCTTCTAATAGAATTTTTTGAACTCTATGGAAGGAACTTTAACTACTTGAAAACTGGTATTAGAATAAAAAATGGAGGTGCCTATATTGCCAAAGAAGAAATCATGAAAGTCATGACTAATGGATACAGACCATCCATGCTATGTATTGAAGATCCTCTCCTGCCTGGTAAGATTGTACGCTTGCAATATTCCAGGGCTTTGGCTCAACTTGTGATTCATGGCTTCTGTTAGTCTGTCAAACAAATTAAGAAGCTGCACTGAAAGAGACTGTTGCTGGTGTAGAGGTGCAGTTATGGAGAAGGGCTAAGGGATCTGGACCTGAAGTCTCCCAAGATTCATAGCCTGAATAAATTGAATTGCACAGGCACAGTGCAGTTGCATAATGAATTAAAGATTCAGAACTGTGTTGAGTATATAATAAGAGTCTCTGACAGTACTGAGAGACAGTAAAAGGAAGAAGTCCAGGAAATCCTGGGAGAGGGTTTGTTAGTAGGAACAGTTCTCCATTGTTCATTATGAGAATGGAAGGTATAGCTTTTCTCACGACGGTGTGTGGTGCCATAGTGCAGATAAATTATACCATGTGGGAAAGAAATGCCCCAGATGAGGTATCTGTCCTGCAGGGCGGTGCTGTAGAGACCACATAGGAACGTGGGTGTGTATCCATAAATATACAGCAAGGGACTGGCTGGTGGTGGTGTGGAGAATTGTTTGCATAACTGGCTTCTGTGCAGCACCTTTAGAGTATGGTTGCATGTACTTTTGAAAGTAACTAACATAAAATTAATTTTTTTTAAGATTTGGTTTTGATTCAGTAACCTTCAAAATAATCAAGAATAATTTTGGCTGAGAGCCTCAAAAACATTTCCAGCTTTAAAGTACTCAGTTTGTATTCTATTTAGACTGCCACAAGTAGCTAAAATTCCAAAACAGCTTTTTAATAAAGTCAATTTTCAGTTAATTTGGACTTCAGCATTAGTATTTCTAGAATGTAATTGGCACTCAAACTCCATAGTGTCACATCTTGTGCATAGACTGCTTATGTACAGCACTACTAAAGCAAATACCATGGATCAGGAGCTGAAGTCTGGCACCTTGTGAAATACTCAATATACTGAATGTTCATAGTTCTTTAGAACACATTGCAGGCTCTGATACTCATTTGTCTAACCACGTATCTGATATGTTTGTAGCTCTGAGTTTGTGTCCACCATGATTCTTGTACGTGGTCAGGCATATGAGTGATTTTGCAGAACTGCCATTATGTCATTGAGATTTCCTTCAGGAGCTCTGTACTTACTTGCCTGAAGATCCATTTGAATAGCAGCATAAGCCACAATTGTTTAGAGTCAAAAGCATCCACTGCCCGCCAGTTCTGTTCTTTCTTATCTGCTGAGGACTGAAGGAAAAGAAATTGCATATGCTACACAATGTTTTAATCACTGCTAATAGTGTGTTGGAGAAGAAAAATTAAATTTTAGGGCTCTGTACTGTTCCTCCTAGCATAAATCTTGCAGCAGTGAAGAACTATAGTTTAGAAAAAAGGTATCTAGTTGTATGCTATCAAAGAGTTGGTAAGAATTAAATTCCAGAGGAGTTTATATGGGCTGAGATAATGTAATTCTTGCAGGAGATAGTGTTTTGGCAATGGAAATGAAAGCTGACAATAGCTTGAAGTTATCTGACCACTGTGTCCCGTAGGAATATTTTCTGACAGCTAATACAGACCTTCAGAACTTACCTGATGGAGCTAGGAGGAAAATTATATAGAACATATAGGATGGCTCTTTCAATCAGATCACATGAGTACAGCCTCCTTAGATCTAGACTTAGTCACATACTCGTACAGTATCTCAAATTACCTGCCAAGTGTATGTAGATAATGTCAAGAATTCTGTTGACTGGTATAGTTCTGTTCCTCCTTCTGTCCCAGTACAAAAAACTTTTCCAAGGCTTCAGGTCCTTGCCCAGTTGACAAGTCATCATCTCTGATTAGTTTGCATTCAGATCCACTCAGTGTCTAACTCTGTGAGGGCTGGTGGCAGAACTGTGAAGGAGATGGGAACAAATATTTTGGTAGAGTGGACACAGATGTCTCTTGACTTAAATTAGCATAAGCTGTCACAGAGTTTTGCCCCTGCAAACCTGTGTTCACACTGTATGCGCAAGTCTTTAATCTTTTTTCAATCTTTTTTTTTAGCCTGATCACAACTATCTCTAAATCTCCAGTTAAACCTTGGAAGAAGACTTCAAAAAATGACTTTGTAATCCAAAAATGTAACAAAAAATACAGGGATAAAAAGAAGGCCTAGTAATTTCTCAGAGTTGTGTAAAAGTCCCTCCTGTGGGATTATGCACTAGTTCAACAATGGGATACTGAAGGGTATAACTCATAAGAATAGCTTTGAGTAGTCTTGCAGGGGACAGGAACACGTTTAGTGGGATTAGTTCCTTTAAGTTGGAGGAACTGTGTTTTCTTGAGTTTGAAATGGTGATGTTTGGCTAACAGATGTAAGGTGTTATCAGAAGGTTATGATACTTCAGTTCTACCTGCTCAGTACCTTCTGTTAGTTCCTGGATTTAGAAGGAACAGGCATCAAACTGTTCTGTTGCTGTTTTGGTCATAATGGGTTTTGCTTGGATTCTTCTGGGTGCTGTAGGGTTTCCTCTGGGATTTTCAAAGATGTATTATTGTGTGCCAGAAAATGATAACTTCTGTGATTTGAGAACCAAGATTCCAAGAAAGATTTCAGGAATCCACACTTAAAGTGGGAAGTGGAGTAGTATGGATTTGAGTTATCAGACTAATCTACTGGTGATGCATTTTGAAGTAGTTGTGTATACTTGACCTTTTTAAATCATGTAACATCTCTTATCTTGAGTTAGTGTCCTAGGATAGGGTAATGAGATGAAAATCATTCCCTTAACATCCTCCAAAAGGAGGGAGTTTCTGTAAACATCCTGTAGCTGCACCATTTCAATTTCTCAAAGCAATTGTCCTATTTTTTGATGTATAAAAAGTAAAAGGATTTATTTAGGAGAATTGCAAAGCCAGGCACTCAGAAGTCTATTCACAGTAATATGTTGGAGCAGAGTAGATGATACCATCTTAGAAAAGGTTTGTGTGGTGTTGTTCTAGCAGCATGCTGTCCTGGAAGACATAACTCTGATTGCAGGTGACAAACTTATAATCTGTGGTTGTAAAACAAGCTTGGCACTTATGCAGCAGACTGTTAGGGAGACTTATTATTTTATGCCTTTAGGAATCAGGTGATTATCAAGGTCCTTCAGTCATTTCTGATGTTCAGAACAGGAATGATTTTGATCTTATTTCAGATTGTCAGTGGCTAGAGTAATTAAATTGCTGCCCTTTAACACATTAGAGTTTAAAACTTGGGAGTTCCACCTCTACTGCTCCTTTCCCTCCCATCCCTTTTTCTTCATTCTGAATTGCTGTGGGCTCTAATGAAAGCTCTAAACCTTAAATTCAATGTGTTTTGTTTGGAAAGAGACTCTTTAACTTGAAGGACTTATGCTTCATGTTGCTTGCTTCTGCATCTCGATAGGTTACAAGTACAGCAAGTAATTAGATTGGCAACAATTGTTGATGGGATTGTCTCTTCTAGCCTTAGTGGCTGCCCAGAATTACTCATTGCAGCTTTTCAGTATCTGCTATTTGTCATTAGAACCTGCAAATATATATGTGTGTGTATAAAACATGTTTATAAAAATACACAAATACATTGAACTTAGCATCTGAAAGAACCTCTTTAGTTCTGAAACTTGCAAAAAGGTGTTTACTAGATAATAGCTTAACATAAATGGGTCTGCTTTAGTTTTAGTTACCTTTACCTTTTCCGGACTGTATTCTTAAAACTGCTTCAGATAAAGGATACTGATAGCAAGTGGTAGAAACTTTGGACATGCTCCTTTAGGGATGAAGGCTTTGTTAGAAAGAATAAGGATTGAATTATACATGAAATCACACACCATTGTTATCTGCTAACGTACATCTGAGTATTGAAATATGTATTTTTTTTTTAAAAGTGAGAGCATTTGGGTTACAAGTTTTAGCTGATCAGTCTAGATTGTGACAAAAGAAGGATGCTCAGTTGTGTAAGGCATGATCCTCTAATGAGAGTGATCTCTCAGAGGAAAATCTATTCAGGACAGCAAATGTAAATATGCAATCTTTTGACTTCATTAATATGCTACTTTCTTGATTAGGTAGGGCCATCTCTATACAGAGTTGACTGGTGCAGTTCACAGTAGCTCCAGCTGCAGTGTAAATCAGAAGCTCTGCAGACTGTGTAATTGATTAAAACTGGTTTATTCAGACACTTTATGAACTAATTACAGGTGCAGAGTGAGGCAGTCCAGGAACCTAGGCATGAACTATTCTGCCTCTGTTCTCAAATCTGCTTCAATTGTCACTCAAACACAACTTTGTTGATTTAAACTGAACTGCCTGAGTTTGCTGTAAGTGGATTAGGGAAGGATTTCTTTTACTGGCACAACAGTGCCATTATGTGGCAACTGCTGCTGGACACAAGTGTCCTGCTTCTGAAAAACCTATACTGTATTAATCATTACTTTTCTAGTAGAATTAACATTTTTCTGCTCTGATTTCTTTACCACTGAAATACCTCAGTCACTTCTCTCAGCTGCCATTGGACTAAGTCATTTTGAAGTCACCTGTGAAGAATACTCCTATGTCTTCTTCTAGATTCACTGCCCTAAGCCCACATTGATCTCTGCTTCTACTTCAGAATAGAGTCCAATAGTAAATAAATCATTTAAAGAGACTTCTGTAATTTTGAGCCTAGTAGCTGCTGCATACTGCAGCAGTGCGTTCAGAACGAGATACTCAGTTACTTCAGTAAAGTATTTTTATATACTTCAGGAAGTATTTCTTGTTTAGTTTTTATTTGACTTTGTAAATTACTGGAAAAGTTCTGTTTTCCCAAAATGCTCTTGCTCTCAGTCTGTTTTCACTGATTATGCTTTTCTGTTAGAGTGGCATTATGGTTATAGAATCTTGAAGGATTAAAATGTGTTGTCAAGTAGTCAAGTGAAGGTTGTTTTATTTTTCCCCCTTGTATGACAGATCTCGGCATGTTTGTCTATAATGGCTTGCTGGACAAAACACTTAGGGGAATGAAGAATTCCTCTGAAGTCAGATTCAGTCCTCCAAAGGATAGATTCTGTCCTTTACCCATCAATTTTCAAAATGCCATTTTTCATTAATTTCTTTTAATTATGGGCCCTGATCTGATTTTTCAAGCTTTAAAGAATCATGCTCAGTGGTTTATCCCTCTCCAGTGTTCTCACAGCATTTCACACATCATTTTGAAGGAGGGAAGCTTTCACTGTAAGTTTTCTACCTACTCAAGACCTAGTCTGTATTTTATTCAATTTGAAGGAAGTTTTATTTGTGTTTCTTAAGTTGAATGCTGACAGTGAACTTTTGGTGTCTGGTACCAAATATATCTACAAAAACCCTCACATGTTTCATGTTATTAATAGCAAAAGTCAAAGGTGTCAAATGGGAGATCAATTTTTGTACATTTTCACTGATATAGAAACTGTACCATGTTCTTAGCTTCTGCAGTTCCTCACATGACACTGGATTTGGAAGGAATTCTGGTTAAAATGTTACTCATACCTAAAGAAGAGCAGTTGAGAGTGCCAGTAACTTGATCAAAAAACAATGCTGTACAAACTTCTGGAATCCTCTGTGGTAGATTTTGACCAACTGGTTTATCCTGTGGAGATAAATAGTTTGTATGAGTTGGTCTATTAATGTCTAGTTTTGATAAGGTGAAACAGGGGTTGATGTGCATATATCTGACCCAACTGAAGACAATGTGGCTGCACAAGTGTCATTTTAAGCTGAATTTGCCCTACAGAAACTCTACTGGTAAGTGAGACATGATGCTTTGAGCTTGGTAGGTTCACTCTTGAAAAACAGCTATAAGAGCTTTAAGCTGATCTCTGCGCTCCGTTTCTTTCAGGTGCTGGTGCACGAGTATTTTAAAAGTGGTAAATTGAATGCATAATGTTAAGTGTCATTCTAAGGTTAACTTCTATTGAGATAGGCACACTTGATGTGTGCCTTCCTGATGTGATTCGGATGGGATAAACAGCTTGAACAGAATTAGGCTGTATTGTTAAGGCTTCTGAGCTTTAAGTATGAATAATTTTTTGGTTACTGATATTAAAAAAAGATGATCTGATGACTGTCACATTATTTCAGGAAACGACGTTGGCAGAAGTTCTTACGGTGCCATGCAAGTGAAACAAGTTTTTGATTATGCCTACATTGTTCTTAGCCATGCAGTATCACCACTTGCAAGATCATATCCAAATAGAGATTCTGAGAGGTAATTAGTTCACTTTTTAAATATCCATTTGTCTGTGTAATCAATTAGGAATGTTTGGGTCTAGATCAATAAAAGGAATAATGTTATTTATTGTTTAAATGTGGCTGTATTGAAATCTGCACAAAAATTTAAGCTGCCCAGGGATATGTGAGTGCAATGCCTCGGTGTGCAGCACTGAAATGAAGAGAATATGATAAAACCCAGGATGAGTCCAATGTGAGATTCTGTTATTGTGGAAGGGAGCCAGAAGATAATTGGTGTTTCCTCAAACGTTCTGCCTAAAGTATTTCAAGGGAAGGTTTGCTTCTTTAATGTTTGGTATGATGTATGTCTGTAATATGGCAGAAAGAAATGTGTGTGATCAAATTGCCTGTTTAGACAGAAAAGGCTAAGATTTTCCCTAGTTCTTTAATACTGACCCCATAAGCTGTTTTAAAAGACCTGATATGTATTTAAGAATTAAAAGAAGAATTAAAAGTATTATATTTAAAATTATTAAAAATATTGAAAGAATTAGCTCATTTTGACCATAATTTCAGGACTGCCATTAAAAGTAGCATACTTGTAGACATGCCATTTTTAATGCAGTTCTTAGTGTCTTTCATAGAAACACTGTACAACCAGTACTTTCTCAGCTCTCACCTTTGCAATTTCTCTGTTTTTTGAAAGGGGCGGAGAAAGAAAAAGAAGGCCTGGCAGCCACGTTGCATTTCCATTCATGTGTCTGCTCTAGTATATGTTATTTTAACTCTCAGTATAAATTTGGGCTAGATCAAAGTATGTCTTCCCTGAGACTTCCATAGAATCCCAATGGCTTTGAGCTCCCCAGCTAATCACAGAGAGGGGTGGCTGTAAAAAGTCATGTAAACTATCTTGATATGGCTACCAACTCTAGTCATCATATGAACTTCCAGCATTAGTGTCATTGGAAGTTGAAATAGTTTCTCTGTAGTAAGTTTACATCAAAGTGAATGCTGTCTTTCACTGGTGGGTTTAAAACAGGCAGTACTTTAATAGTGCCTGTGAATCCTCTAGGTTTTCAGTGGTATTAAATTCACAAAGGTTGAGACTGAACTGTGATGGAGGTACAGAGGGAGTGGTACAGAGTGTTACGCACTGACATTTGAGACTGCTGTTTTAAGGTAGATTAAAGGTCTGTCTGTTAAATGTGTATTGCCTGGCAATTCTTGGTACTGAATGAAACTTTGTTCTTACCCAAGTATAGAACAACTTAGGGATTCCTGAAGTTTTGCTTGTGTCTTAGGTCCTGGCCTCCATTAACCTCTCTGTGTTTCTCTGAAGGATAATGTCATTCTGTTGTGAGGTATCTGTATTTAGTACAGACATCAAAAAGTATATTTGCAGTGCATTTAATAGAAGCTTCGGGTGTCATCAGTACGTGCACTTCACATGTACTTGCACTTCTCACTATATTAGGGAAAATGTTTGGATTTTGGCACAACTTCAAACCCGTGAAACAGTCCCAAGCAGCAGTGTTCAGGTGTCATGTGTCTGACCTGTCTGCATGTTCTGGGCTGTCTGTGCCAGTGATGTCTGAATTTCAGAACCTGTCATGCCAGTGGCTTACCTTTCTGTCAGAGGTGTCACGAGAGGAACAGCATTCAATAAAGTCCTGTATACAAATAGTTCCCCCAGAGCCAGTCTTGTCAGCACCAATGGACCTGTAGGTGGATGATGAGCTGTTTAGTACCAGGTTTTGTTGTGGAATCTCAACAGTCCATGTTGGGAACTGAGGTTCGTAGTTAAACCTGATGTACTTGGGTAATCCAGGTGTGTTTCAGATCCCTCTTCCACCTGTGAGACAGAGTGGTCTATGCTCTGTATCAAGACTTTTCTGGTGGCCTGACCTAAAACCTAACCATCCAGGAGCCCTTTAATCTGATAATTTTTTTCCCTTTTCTAGGCTTGTCGGTGGTAGACTGAACCATAATATAACTATAAACAATGGTCTCCCTTTAAGACCAATGATGTGATATCCTACTAGAAGGATTGAGACTAAATGAAGAGTACTTGAAAGAATAGAACTTGCACGAGGCTGAACTGCCCAGACTGACTTGAGTTTATTCAGTTTTGTCCTAATTGGGGCTAACTTTTCCCTAAGTGGAATGACTTGTTCTTGAACTGTCTGATGGGTTTGAATTCATATCACCTCTTTCCAGGGAAGGTTCCTGTGTACAGAATTCAATTGTGTAGATGGCAGTCTCAGTAGATTTCAAATCTTTCTTGATGACTGTTATGGCTCTTTTCCAGGGTCAACCTAATTCAAATGACCAAATGTCTGAGTTAATTTGAGGCTCTCTAGCCAGCTACTGCTTGTGATATTCCCACTGGGGAAAAAAAGTCAACTTTTAGTCCTTTGACCTAGACCTTTCTCTTTGCCATGTTCTATAGTAACAAGTCCCACAGAATAATAGGGAATAGATTCAAATGACTTGCCACCATTTTCATTCAAGCTTCCAAATACGTCTGAGGTGTAGTGGGGGTTGAAAGGTACCTTCTGTCATGGAAAAGCTTTCTTCCAAGTGGAAACAGTAATCAGCTGTAATCCTGAAGTAATTCTTACAGCTACAGAAATTACCTTAAAACTATTTTGTCCCCAGTCAGTCTCACCCATCCCCTTTCAAGAACAGCTTAGGAGAGTTTGATAGACAGTTTGGTTGATTTTTTTATTAGAGCAAACAGCTTCCTGTCATCTTGGAAAAAGGAGTTTCCTAGTAGGAAAATGAGGAGACTGATCCATTTTGAATCTGTGCAACTTGTATGCAAGGTAAAGTTTAATGTTCTAACTTCAGCCAAGATGACTGAAAATCATGATCACTTTCTTAGTATTTAGGGCCACAGAGACATGAGTCTAGTTTTAAAATATAGTTATGGACAGATTATCTCATGCTTAAGCATTGGTGTTACTAAGCTGTTTGAAGCACATACTGTGGTCTTTGCCCATAGCCTGTCTCTAGAGAAGAACATGTCATTTTAAGTGAGCTAACTTCTTTAGTCTGAGGAGTGATGTTTTCATAGAATCATTTAGGTTGGAAAAGACCTCCAAGATCATCGGGTTCAGCCATTGGCCCAGCTACCACTGCATTCACCACTAAACCATGTCCCTCAGTGCCGTATTTACATGACTTTTAAATACATCCAAGGATGGTAAGTCCATCACTTCCCTGGACAGCCTGTTCCAGTGCTTGACGATCCTTTTGATGAAATTTTTCCTAATATGCAATCTAAACCTCCCCTGGTGCAGCTTGAGACCATTTCCTCTTGTTCTGTCACTTGTTACCTGGGAGAAGAGACCGACCCCTATCTGGCTGCAACCTGTTTTCAGGTAATTGTAGAGAGTAGTAAGGTCCACCCTGAGTCTCCTTTTCTTGGAGCTAAGCAACCCCAGTTCTGTCAGCTGTTTCTCTTAAGACTTACAGTCCACCCCCTTGATCAGCTTCCTTGCCCTTCTTTGGATACACTGTTTCGAGTCTGACCATTTTTCCAGTTTTATTCTGTTTCTTGATAAACTGCAGGATATTTGCAGATATTGGCAACAAGCTCTTCCTTATTGATTCATTTCCTTTGAAATAGTGGACTATGTGTTACTATCCTGTCCATGACCTCTATATTAAGGTGTAATTTCACATTATACTTTGTCTAGCCTAACTACTCCTATCAACTGTGCTTTTCCTTTCTTCTCAGTCCGAATCTTGCCTTGGATCAGCTCTAGCAATCCTGTGGTCAGAAGATGAGTCAGATTGACTCTGTGGTCTGACTGAGAACAAATATCTCGACATTTCTGTCATGTCAGGAAGTTGATCCAGCATGTGACTGATGATGGACAGATCAGAAGCAAGAGAAGCAGGAGGAGTTCACATTCGGGTCAAGAGCCATTTCACAACCATATATTATGCTAATCTGGATGTGACAAAGATACATCCTTAGTTAATATGAATTTTCTGCAGATAAGGATGTTGGCTGCAACTAGTCTGTTGCATAGTCCAGATAGGAGTGTATGCTCAGACTGCATCTCTAAACAGCTGTGTAGTCACATTTGGGAAGCAGTTGAGATCATATGAAATGAGGATGTAAGACTTGGTTCTGCTCTCATGTGTTCTTCAGTATAAGTAAGACTTTGGAAGTCTTCTGTAATGGTGCCAGAAATGGTACAGGTGGATGAGGGAAAGGGACAGTCATGCCAACAGGATGGTGGTTGAGGAGTTGTCATTTACGGGTGATAGTCTTCAAAACAACTGTAGTCTGAGCCATATAGAAAGTGATCTTTCCATCTCTGTGCTTGGAAAGTTGTTTGGTCTCTTTTCCAGTTCAACTGATCTAACTGCTGACAGGTCTATATGTTAGATTTGAGTTGCCACTGGTTGGCCAAAATAGTTCTGGGAGCTGTCAAAAGGAATGTTAAATTTGCCTGCTAGATCTGCTGACACAGAGAGGAGAAATGTGCTATCTGAAACAGCTCTTCCTTTGCTTCACGTCTTGAATGAATGGTGGTGGTGTCACTAGAGTGCTTGCTTTCTCTTAAAGGGTATCAGCAATACCAGCTTCTCCTATGCAGAGTATTTGTCAGGATAAAGGTTTGAGGGTGTTCTTCTTAATCCTCATGCTCAAGCCAGATCCTTTGAAGGTGCTCCGTAGTTTGCTTTTAGATTATATTACACTTTTAATACCCTAGGGATATTTCACTTATTTTGACTGTTCTCTCACAGACTTGATGTTTTTTCATGCTCTGCTACTGACCTCATTCATGGGGAGCTTTATGTATTTGGTTTTACTGAATCTGATGTTATCAGTCTGAACCTTTTAAGAGTGATCTTAAGATTGAGTTGCACAGCAGTTGTGCTGTAATGACAGCTAGAAAGTGTCCCTGTGAACTGAGGTCTTGCAGTGTGTAAAAAGAGAAACTTCTAAGTTCTTATTATAAAATAAACTAGACATGTAACTAGCTTATTCCTGGTTTTGCTATGTGATAATAATATTAAGGGAAAAACCTTAAAGGGGCATCTTTCACAGGAGAGCTGTCTAAGTTTTTTAACCAGTTTTTCCATGTCTTCCATCCAAGCATCTTTGAAGAATCGTGTGTGTCTTGTACATCTATAGAAATTCTGACCTTAGTCAAATAAAAAGCCTCGAAAATGTGAAGTTTTCTTGTAATAAAGGCAGGGTAGATTAATAGGGTTTTTTGTTCCTAAGCACTTTCAGTGGTGAAAACAGATCTAAGCATAACTTTTAAATGTTTATTTAAAAAAATTGTTCTTTGAGCCTGTGGATATGCTCAAGTCCCATACATAGGAAATAGTATTCTTTGAGATCAATATCTAGTTTGATCACACTTGCTTCCTCTTCACTGTTACATTAAGTATATGGCAGTATAGCCCAGTCACTTTTCAGTTTCTGATGTCTCATAATGAATGTTTTTAATTTTGCTGTACAAGCAATGTAGCATGGATCTGTCTCTTTGAACCCCTGACCTTATAACTTAGTGAATTTCCTTTTTTCTACAAAAAATTAGAGTTTAGGGATTTGATCTCTGTGCTCTTTGAAAGGAACTGGTGAGAGAATATATTCCCTAGTTCTCTATGTGCAATTCTGACACAATTGTTGGTGTAGCAGTAGTTTTACCCATTTTATCTATTTGATAGCAGGCGTTTTTGGTGTATCAGTCACCAAGTCTGATAAAAATACCAACCTGTATTGTTCATTTTCCTTTTTGTATATGAAGTCATGACTCTTGATTTTGCTTCCGGGAAAGTACTCCAAGAAGTTTCAGGCTTTGATTTGCTTCTGGGAAAGTACTCTATGAAGCTCCCAGCTTGGCAAACTCCTTATCCGTAAGAGCTTGTGTTATTCGGTCCCTTTTCATTTTCTGGTTCTAAGACCACATCTGGTGGTAGTTGTGAAATTTATAGGTTGTCCTGGAGTAAAGACTCAACTCTTTCTGAAGGCATTCTCAGATGAAATTTTTTAACTGCAAGATTTCATTCCCTATTCTGGTGCTGAAGAGACCCAGCAGGTCTGTGTTTGAGTCCCATGCTGGCATTGCTGTCTTGGGAACTACAGCTTTAGGGCCACAGCTGATTTTCTGCAGTTTTGGTCATCGCTGTCTTCATTCTGTCTCCTTTTGCTCAACTTCCTTTTTGAGATTGAGAAACTAGAACTGCATTGAGTATTTAAAATGCTGTTACCTCATGGGAGTATACATTAACAAAATGTAATCCTCTGTTTTATTTTTCCTTTTCCTAATGTGTTCTACTTAGCTATTGAACTGTGGTTCCCAAAGAATTACCTATTATAACCCAGATCTCTAATGGCTGAGTGGTGACAATCACACTTTTAATTCTGCATGTAAAATTCAAGATTTTGTTTTCCATCGTGCATCATTTTATTTACATTACATAAGTAGAATGGTGGATGACATGCATTCTGTCCTGGTGGCCCATCTGCAGCTATTGGACTTGTAACTTAGATGATGTTATTTGGTTCAATGTTTCCTTAAAATGCTGGACTGACTTTTTTTAGTACTAACAGTGACATGTCTTTAAAGTTGGAATACTAACATGGAACATGTGGTATTTGGTCTTGCGTGAAATAGTAATCCCTATGACAGTAGGAGAATTAGTGATACTTTTTAAAGCATTGCTATGAAGAGACCTAATAAAGGTAGTCTGAGTACATTAAGGCTTTGTATGTCCTGCCTTCCCATTATAGACCTAAACCAAAAAAAAACCCCAGTACAGAGAGAATGTACCTTTATGATGTGAAATACAAAATAAACTTCAATGTAACCATCGAAGATTTTCAAAACTAAAATAACATTACCTTCTCCAAAGTGATAACTTTTCAGTCCATTTCTGTACGATAGTAATTTCTTTGTGGATCTGGAGTTAGTGTTTCAGCCACTAGTCTCTGATGAAAGGAAAACTTGAAAACTTAGCTCTCAGACAAGAAGACAGAACCTGCTCAAGAAGTACAATTCAAATAGCTGAATGTTGGGAAAGCATGTTGGGAAAACTCTATTTTGATAATTAGTTACTGTTCAGCAGGACCAGGTATGCATTTCCTTTGAGCCTCCTACTGTTACAAATTTTTTAAAACTCTCACTCGTTCCAGTTTTGGAGCCAGTCTCTTGTTTCCACTACCTCATGATCCATGGTACTTCCTTTATAATTGTGGGGACCTTAACACCTTTTAAGTGGTCTTGTAAATCTGTAAGCAAGGATTAATGAAGGCATCTGTCTCCAGACAGTCAGTTACAGTGCTGGGATGTTGGTGTCTTCAGTGCATCCCATACCTGTTGTAATCCAGATTCTGTCGAAATAATTCTGCGTTGTAATACAGATTTCTGTATGGAGAAATGCAAGATCCATAAATTGCTTTTATCAAGTACACTGGTATCAGCATGTACATTCTTGATAATTAAGATGCACTCCATTTAGAAATACAGAGTAAAATTCTTACTTATCAGTGCTTGCATGTTGGAATAGTAGAAGAAAAATAATATACTAATATAAAAACTGTGGTGATTCAGTGGATTAAATTGTGCACTAAAAATATGAAAGTTCAAGAGGATTCTTTGGTTAGGGGTGTCTGACTTTTAGCATAATTTGGTTGCTTGTTACAATGCTTGCAAATATGTAACCAACAGTCTTTGTTTAATACTTAATTGAAAAATTTTTTTAGCACATTAGGTAGAATCATCAAAGTGACCCAAGAAGTGATTGACTACAGGGCCTGGATTAAAAAGAAGTGGGGGAGCAAAATTAATTTATCACCTGAACTTGGTAGGTATAGCAGGAAACCAACTTAAAATTTTTTCTTGAATTTGATGTAATCAAAATACTCATGCCTTGAAATTAATCATTCAGATATATAGGAAAAAATAAAAGGAACTTGTAACTTTCTAACCCAAGACTAGTTTTCTCTGAGCCTGTTTTTCAATTAGCTTGTTAAACTGCAGTTCTTCTTAGACTTCAAGGCCTTTATGTTTGTATTCTGTGCTCTTAAATGATAGTTATGTTTTCTCTTAACAGATAATAGGTTGAAAATAAGAGACCAGATAGCTCTCTGCAATGGAGAACAGCAACAGAACAGGGACTCTGAACCACCTTACAATCAACACTTGACTTTGTCATTGGGCAGCACACAACAGTTATCCTCGGGCTCATCTGCGTCTTCTGTATCATCACTCTCCGGCAGTGACATTGTAAGCTTTTTCTTTTAATGGGTTAAACTAATAAGAAGCAGAGTTTATCGTATGCTTCAAAGCCTTAATTGATACAACAGCACGTAATGTGGTACTGTCCCTAGGCTGCTACAGCAAATCAATGTCCCCTGCTCAGAAAAATTACTGAAATCAAATATTTTTTCCATTAAATTTAATGGGTCTTATATCCATCCTAAATCTTTGGTACCCTTTGTGGTAGTATTTAGATGTAATGAAATATAACAACCCAATTTAACAGTTGCTAATTAAGTAGAAGAGTAGAAATATGTCTTCGTAAATCCTCCTATTAAGCAAAATCTTCCACTATCGAATTCTGATCCTTTTTCCCCACACCCAAAATTGAACATGAACTTCATATTGTGCTGTGAAGGTGAATAACATTCCTTACTATTTTTAGCCAAGCAGTCAGTTCATGTTTTAATGGTAACAGAGCACTCAGGTAAAGTCTTGTCAGCTTCCTTATTTGAAAGTAATTGCCGGGCTTTATTGTAACTTCCTGGAAGAGGAGGCTGCAGTCTCTTGAGGTATGTTCCCAGACTCTTAAGATTCTGTAAGATGGTTTTTTTTTCAGTATGAAGTTAAATCATTGCAGAATTAGGCAGTGCAGATTATAAAGCACAGCATTGCAAGGCGTGAGGTTCTCGCTGTAAATCCTACTGAAGCATTCAGTCATAGGTAGAGGCATTGATGGAACAGGATGTAATATGCAGTCAACTACAATAGTGGATAACTGGATGATGCCAAGAGAGGTCCAAATACCTGTTTCTTGACTGTTTCAAAAACTAGTCAAATATGGAATTAAAAGTTGGGAATTGTATTCAATAAAATTTCAATAACTTTTAAGAGACAAGCACCGTCTTTATAAGTTCTGGTTACTTTCTAAAGTTATTTTATACTACTGATTTTTTGATATTGAATTGTGTTTTCATACCACTTCAGTAAATATGACAAATGCTTTGGCTGCACCATCTGACCATTGGAAAAAGAACAGCATGATGCTTGCCATTGATACTGCTAGCCATGTTCCTGGTTTAAGGAAGTCAGTAGGCAAGGTTTTGCTGTAATAAATTTTATAAGAAAATGCAAATATTTGCCTAATGTTGTGCACTCCCAACATAATGGGTGGTGAGTGTTTATGAACTCCCCTTAGTCCCGTTTTACCTGATAGAAGATGGAACTTCATTACCTGATGCCAGACAAATTAACAAAAAGTGAAAAGGAAGCACTCAACAAGAAAGACCTGAAATCTGCTTGGGCATCCACAAAGTAAAAGGAAATGCTACCCTTTTTAACAAAATAAAAGACATTATATCCTTGTCCTTGTGACAGTCTCTAGTTTAAGGCCTGGTCATATATTGGCATTGTGTCCTTAATAGACCGATAGCATGTTATCTTAATTTGGAATGGAATGGCATGTTTCTGGCAAATAACTGATGAGTTCATCCTACTCATACTTGGGCATTTAAGGAGGAGCAAGTTCTGGTTGAGCAGTCCTGAGCTGCACCTGATTGAGGAAGAGAAGTCTATTCTGCTGTAGTCAGGCAATCTGTGCCATGATCTGGCAGAGGAACCTCTAGCATGTGTGACAACTTGGTATTTGTGCCAAAACTTCTGGTGCAGTACAAATAGGTATGAGCTTTGGTATCAGCTTCAGGAGAAGGGAATATGAATATGATGCATCTCATCACTTTAGAGTTATATGTAGTGTTTCCTCTGATCTTGTGGAAGGGTCGTTCTTCAGGAAGGATTCTGTATTCATTTGAAGTTGAATCACCTAAACTTCTCTGATACTGGAAGACTGAAAGCAAGGTACAGATTACAAAGAAAATGTAGGAGACAAGGAGACCTGAGAGTGACAATTTGCTGGTCTGTTCCCAAAAACTAAATTTTATTTTAATAACAGGATATTCATCCCTATGTCATTATAAGACTTAAAGTCTACATTAAGATACTGTTTCTGGAGGTGTATTTTGCATGACTGCAGAATATCTTTTGCTATTTATCAGCTGTAAGATATTAGCTGTTAAAATTAGAGGGACTAGATAGTGTATTTGCTTTTCCATTTGCTTTTCCATTTACTGCTGAAGTCTCGCTGGTAATAGTGATCAGCTGCATCTGGACCTTTTTGAGGAAACAGACTTGGAAACTTGTGACATTAGTTATCATATTGCCCCTCTCCAGCCATCCATGCTAGCAGAAAAGGAGTTGTGTTCTGAAGTCATCACCTCACTGTACACCGGCAGTAAGTCTGGAGACCTTGCATATATTTGTCAACATGTCCTGGAAGCAATATTGGCAGTATGTATTGAGTGTGCAGGAGTTATCAAAGCAGTGCAGTATTGCTCATAGGGATCCTAGAATTTTTATTAAGCCCTTTGGTGTAATAGTTGGTTGTAATATAGCATGCTGTGTGGTTTTTAAACAGATTTGTTTTCTTGAAGTTCTGACAGCAGTACAGGTTTTGCCTTACAATCTTATAATTGATTCAGCAGCTGAATAGACAAGGCTTCTGGTGTCTTGGACTTATGGGCCCTTCAGATACAGCAATGGTTATAGATTTATTCCAACAGCAGGAGAACAGGTCTCGGAATAGAACAAGGAGCAGGTTTTTTTGGAGACTGGATTGGCATAAACCAGAACTAGCATTTAGAAGTCAGCCTTTCAACATCTGTATACATTCTGAAAAATGGATGTGTAGGGATATGAGAGCTTACACTTACTACCCTGAGTTCTTTGCATTTCTGCTACTCCTTTCCTTTCTTTGGGGACTATGGCAACCTTTTGAAGATGAGAACTTGTGTACTTAGGAACAAGACAAGTGCCTTCTTCAAGGACAGCCTTCTCTTTCCCTGTATGTTTTAGATTTATGTGCTTTTTCTCAGCACACCACCTGAAATTCAGGAAGAATTTTCACATCTAGAACTAGCTTGCTACACAGCCCAGTGTGCACATCTAATGAGACCAAATCATAATCTGAACAAAAAGTATAATTTTATGGATTTTCCAAGGCAGCAAAGCTATTTAGAAAGTGCCTTATGCTAGCACTATCTGGCTAATGAAATTCTAGTTGTGCTGTCTTTCATGTGTCCTAGTCAATCTTGGTCACAAAAAACAGCTTTTCAAAGGACCAGTAAATTTTGGATCAAAAACCTCATGGAAAAGAAACCTGTCTTCTGATACCGTTGTTATTACTAATGAGGGAGCTGTTCCGTTTATGTGGTTGTCTTACTGTACATGTCAATGCAGACTCGCTCACCAGTACTTCCAATGTAGTTCTTTACAAAATACTGAATGTTAAAATTCCTGCCTTGTTACCTCAGCTCTATGAAGAATGTAAATATTAGTGATAAGGAGCAAACTGAGGAACACATGAGAAAAACAAGGACTCTGATCACCAAAACTTATTAAACTGTTCATACATTTTTCTGGATTCTGTTTATTATCAAACTGATCTATGTAGTAAATCTTCTCTCAATGAAGCCTTCTGCTCTGCAGGTATTTAAAATACCCTGTACTGCCCTGACAAAAAGGCAGTGTATGTTCTTTATTTACTCTTGCAAACAGGTGAGTTGTAAAATACTGTGCATTCCCACATGATCCAACAAATGTTTAATTGAATAATGGAAGATGCTTTATAAATGACTTTGCCATCAAGGACAGTGCAAAGTGTGTGAGTGTTTACTCTGTGGGAGCAAGAGGTAAACTGTTCCATAACAGAAAACAAGCCTCTGGCATTAGGAAATCTCCCCTTCATACTCAATTAGGTGAGTGTTATGAGAATCTGCAACCAAGTGAAAAGAAGGATGTTTGCCCCCAGCTCTCTACTTGTTCTGGCTAGTTGCAGATGTCAGTCTCACAGCCTAATCAGTGACCAAATTCCTCACGAAAATGCATTTTGTTGTTTTTTTTTTTTTTCGTTCTGGACCTGCACTCTGGTGACCTGGATTTCTTGCTGCTTAAGCGTTGTAGAAAAATGCTTTCTATTAGGTCAGGAAATTGTAGAGTAATGCTGGAGAATATCTACTGCCTGATGAACAGTCTCTGCCAAGTAAAAGATAATCTTAGGTATATCTTATTTTGGTTTGTTTTGATTCCTAGTGCTAAGTATGCTCTGAAGTTTTGATGCTTTTATGCCAAATAAAGCTTAACATTTTATGTGACAGTGATACCTGTGTATCAGTAACAGATGTCATGGCTAATAGGAAAATTTAAATCTCTTTTCCCTTACACAATAGATATGTAATCTCATATCCAGTGCAGCACAGAATCTCCAAGTTGTCTGTTAAAAGTTTGGATCTAACAAATTTCATGCACTTTATCTCAGTGTTTCTGGTGATAATGTTGTGTGGGCTTGTATGACAAAATGATTTTGTGAAGAGTTCTGAGTTCTCCAGATTACGTAGTAGTGCCAAGGTAGTTGAAGTTTCAGTGAACAAGGTACCCCTATAGTCTGGCTTTGGGGATGGCACAATCCTTGCCTCTTTTTAAACTTTTAGCATTTACAGTATCTTCTTTCAGACTGTTCTTGAAATTTTACCTGTAAACCTTGCAGGTCAGGCTTCATAAAAACCTATTGTCAGAATGTCAGTGCTTGATTTCCCCACCATTCTGCCCCATCAGCTAATGAATGTGCTGAGCAGTACCTTCAGTGTTCTGGGAATGTGTCTTTTCACTATATCAAGTACTGTATATTCTGAGAGTAATATATAAATGTGATTAATAAGACTAAGACTCATTATTCTTCCAGTTCTGCTGAATGCTTACAAGATCCACACTGATTTTGGAACTTCTACTTACTTTGCAGTAATTATGGCTTGAACTCAACATGCTTAATGAAGTTATCACCACCTCACTTTCTTTCTTATTAGCTGAAGACCGTGAATTTCAGCTTATTAGCTGGAGCCATTGTAATTCCATAGTCACAGAGAGAAGTGATAGAGTATGTGACTTACCTTGTCCAAATAAATGTTGCACTTTTT